GTGTATGCGTGTATTGACTGCATGTAGGTAAGTGCACCCGTCTGGTGGAGTGCCCGCGGAGGACGGAAGAGGCTGTTGGATCCCCTGGATCTGGAGTTACAGTTTTAGCTGCCATGTGGGTGCTGGGATTCGAACCCAGGTCTTCCGCAGAACAGCCAGTGCTCTTAACCTCCGAGCCATCTCTCCAGCCCCTTAAGTTGCTTTTGTCGGATTATTTTATCAACAGCAACACGAAAAGAACCTAAGACATATCCCTATTACTGGCTTGTTTTTTCCCAGTTAACTCTCCAACCAAGGCAGCACCGAGGCTGTGTTCTAAGAAGTAATGGAACCCAGAGAATGAGTCTAGAGTGCACCAAACAATGAGAGAGACACAGACATCACACGTGTCAGAAATGTGGCCGAGCATCTGAGCTGAGGGGCACGGCTGAGCTGGAATGATGACTGACAGCCTTTGTTTCCTGGCCCACCCCAACCACTGAATTTTCCCTATAAAACCCACTGGCTGGAGAGGGGGAGGCCATTTGTTTTGGGGGTGTTAATCCCCTGCATTCTCAGATCTCTGACTGTCTGAATAAAATTCAACTTAAAGATTCAGTTCCCAGGCTGGAGAGTCAGCTGTTAAAAGCACTGGCTGATCTTTCAGAGGACCCAGGTTCAATTCCCAGCACCCGCATGGTGGCTAGCAACCATCCTTAACTCTCCAGCTCCAGGGGAATCTGACATTCTCTTCTGACCTCCGTGGGCATTGCACGACACTGGTGCACTTACATACATGCAGGTAATTCACTCATACACATAAAATAAAAACAATAAAATGTTTTTTTAAAAGATTCAGCTCCTATCCCTGTTTGTGTTTATGGTGAGCAGGCAGCAGGAGCTCTGGTATTCTGGTTACAGAAAGAGGAAGAAAGAAAGTTGTGTTTTCTGAGTTAGAATTCAGGAAAACCCAGCTCTGCTATGGAGGCCTGCAAGCTGGCCTTTATTTACTTTTATATGTTAATGGTTCTTATTTTTTTTAAACTCAGCTTCTTTAACATCTCTCTGGTAAAACTAAATTTAGTGTTGACATCTCTGACATCAGTTACTAAATTATTAACCAATTATTAAAACTCAATATTGCTGCCGGGCATGATGGCACACACCTTTAATCCCAGCACTTGGGAGGCAGAGGCAGGCAGACCTTTGTGAGATGGAGGCCAACCTGGTCTACATAGGGAGTTCCAGACCAGCTGGGGCTATAGGGAGACCCTGTCTCAACTTCAAGTACATTTTAAAAAGGTTTGATTGAAATTCCTGCTGTTTTTTGCCATCGCAGACCCTGTCTCAAAAAAATGAACCAAACAAACAAAAACAAAGTTTATTTCTCAAACGTTCACGGCTTCATTCCACAACTCCAAGTACATTTTAAAAAGGTTTGATTGAAATTCCTGCTGTTTTTTGCCATCTTAGAACGACAGATTGACCAAAGTTTTGTGTCTTCAATTGCCAACCCTTTGGCTATATGTTTTTCTCTAATTTTTATTTAATGTATATCAGGGAATGTACAGTTTACTGTGGTAAGTACCTATACTAGTTTCTTCTTATCTCTGTGACCAGATACCTGAGAAGAAGCAGCTTAAAGGAGGGAGTGTTTTGGCTCAGTTGAAGGTGCAGTTTATCAGGGTGGGGAAGCAGGGAAGCCTGGCTGGCTTTCTCCTTTTACCCTCTTATTCACTCTGGGCCCCCAGACAGCCAGACAGTGCTACCCACTTCAGAGGGAATCATTCCTCAGTTAATCCTCTCTGGAAATATCCTAAACACACCCAAAGTGTGTCTGGTGTTTCTCTGTCTCTGTCTCTCTATTTTTTGAGGCAGGTCTCTGGTGAACCTGGAGCTCACTGACTCAGCTAGACTGGCTGGTCACCAAGCCCTATGGCTCTACCTGTGTCCATCTCCCTAGTGCTGGGGTTACAGGCAGACCTGCCACACACCAGCTTTTATGGGTTATTGGTAGTGTTTCTATTCACCAGTAATGAACTAGCTTAGAAAGAAATACTGCTTATAATAGTTGCACAAAAACAAAATATCTGGGCCAGTGAGATGGTTCAGAGAGTAAAGGTGCTTGCCACCAAGCCTGCTGACCTGAGTTCCATCCCCAAGACCTGCATGGTAGAAGAAGAGAATTGACCTTTGCAACCTGTTCTCTGACCTCCATGTGTGTGCCATGGCACATGTGTGTGCACACACACTAAATTAATTACCTAAAATAAATTTTAAAAAGAAAAAACTACAAGGGGCTGGAGAGATGGCTTAGTGGTTAAGAGCACTGGCTGCTCTTGCAGAGGACCCAAAGTCGATTCCCAGCACCCATAAAGCAGCTAACAACCATCCGTAACTCCAGTTGGAAGGGATCTGACACCTTCTTCTGACCTCCTCAGGCATTGCATGACACGGGTGCACATACATACATGCAGGCAATACACTCATACACATAAGACAAAAATATTTGGGGGGGCTAGAGAGATGACTCAGTGGTTAAGAACACTGGTTGTTCTTGCAGAAGACCCGGGTTCGGATCCCAGCACCCACATGGCAGCTAACAACTGTCCATAACTCCAGTCCCAGGGGATCCGACAGCCTCTTCTGACTGCCGCCGTGGGCATTGTGAAAAAAACCTAGGCGCCATGAGGCCACCTGATAGGAATGCCTGACAAGAGGTCAAGCATTAAGAAACTAGCTTATCAGAAAAACAGGACGTAGTGGTCAAGCCATCTGCATCTGGCAATCCCCGGGGCTCGATACCAGGAAATCAGGAGAAAAACCTCTGTGTCCCTGAGGTCACCTCCCATTTAGCAATCCCACTTCCCCTTAGCCCCGACCCTTACCCCATATTTCTGTGTGCTTTTGAAATTACTCTGTGTGTTTTTGAATTAACCAATAACCACGCTTCTGCTTCTGTACCCTGCTTCTGCTCTATAAAAGTGCAAAAACCCAGCATGGGGGCGCGCAAGTCCTCCGAGGAGACTTTGTGCCCACAGGTACCTGTGTATCAAATAAACCTCATGCTGTTGCAACCCGAAGACTGACTTGTCCTCAGTGGTCTCACTCTTACAAAGATGTGCTTGTTTTCCTGTGCCTGTGTTTCCTCATAGAGTTTATTTCCAGTTTTGTTAATTTTCCTGCAGATTAATGATTTTACTTTTTAGCTGAATACAATTCCATTGTATCATTGTGTCATATTTCTATTTCCTGTTCACCAGTTGATGGGAATCTAGATTGATTCTATTTCCTGGCTATTGTGAATGAAATGAGAATAAAGCAAAATGAGCAAAGGTATGGAGTCCTTTGGTTATGTGACCAGGGATGGTTAACTGTGTGTTAGGGTTTTTCTGATTTTAGCTTTTTGGATTTTTTTTTTTTTTTCAAAAAAGAAAAACTAGAAAACAAAAAGCTGAGTTAAGGGCACACAGAACACAAAAGGCAGTCTGTGCTCCCAGACAGGAAGCATTAGTGTGGTATCATGTCCATACACCCCAAGGCAATTTACAGATTCAATACAATCCCACCAAAATAGTAATAGCCTTCTTCAATAAAATGGGAAAAAATGCTCTTCAAGTTTTCAAGGAACCATAAAAACCTACAAGTAACCAAAACAATCCTGAGCAAAAACAACAAAATGGTTTCAAAACCTACCACAATAAATTAAGTAAAAGCAGCAGTAGAGGAAAAATTGGGAAAGTTAGAGATATTTGGAAATTAAATGGCACTGTCCCAAATAGCGAATGGGTCAAAGAAGAGAGGGGCAAACTGGCATGTATTTTGAGCTGAATGAAGAAAACCAATAATAAAAGTATCATTTGGGGGCTGGAGAGATGGCTCAGCAGTTAAGAGCACTGGCTGCTCTTGCAGAGGACCCAGGTTCAATTCCCAGAACCCACATGACAGCTAACAACCATCTGTTTTAAAGTATCATTTGTAAGCGCGATGTGGTGGTGCGCACCTTTAATCCCAGCATTTGGGAGGCAGAACAGCTAGATCTCTGTGAGTTCGAAGCCAGCCTGGTCTCTGTAGCAAGTTCCAGGCCACCTGGGGCTATAAGGAGACCCTGTCTCAAAAAAACAAAAACGTACCAAAATTTTAATTGTTGTAGCATCACTCGAAAGTCAAAGTCCAGCCAGGCATGGTGGCGCAGGTCTGTAATCCAGCTGGGAGACTGAGGCTTGAGAATCAAGAGTTTGAGGCTAGGGCTGGAAAGACGGTCTGGTGGATAAGAGCACCTGCTGCTGTCGCACAGGATCCAAGTTCAGTTCCCAGCACCGTTGTCTGGCAGTTCACAAACCGCTTGTAACTCTAGCTTGAAGGGGATCAAAGACTCTGGCCTCTGTAGCACCTGTGCCCCTGCACACACCCACACAGGCAGGAAGACACATGCACATAATTTTAAAAGTAAAATAAATCTTGCCGGGCATGGTGGCGCACGCCTGGAGTCCCAACACTCAGGAGGCAGAGGCAGGAGGCTCTCTGAGAGTTCAAGGCCAGCCTGGTCTACATAGTGAGTTCCAGGACAGCTGGGCTACAGGGAGAGCCTGTCTCAAAAAGAACAGCAACAAAAAGTAAAATAAATCTTTAAAAAAAAAAAAAAGAAAGAAAGAAAGAAAGAAAAAAAGAATTTAAGACCTCATCTTTTTTAAAAAAATAAAGTCCAAGCAAGAAGTCTCTAAGTTTCAGTTTCCAGCTGTGAGTTCATTCAAAACCGAAGGCGGGCGGGCCGTGGGGCGGGCCGTGGGGGAGGGGGGGACCGTGTGCTGCACACGCACCAGTAGCACCAGCACTAACGGCTCAAACCCCACTGGAGCCAGCGCTGCAGGGGTTCCAGCCCCGAAAACCAGGGTACTTATTCCCTGGTGCGAGTAGGAACCCCAACGCCTCCCTGCATTTAAGACCCTCTCTCCTCCTACTTCCTGTCTGTGCTTTCAGTTTCTTAACACCTCCGCGGGGCAGTGAGTTGTCAGGACCCAGGACCCGGGACAGCACCGAGCCCGACCGCGCCGCTGCGATGTGGGCGCTCATTATCTTCGGGGTGCTGAGCCGCCTGCCCGGCTGCGGAGCCCGTGAGTGGGGTGCGGCATGGGGCGGGGGGGGGTCCCTGCAGAACGGCTGCGCTTGGGAGGCGGAGGCAGGGGGATCAGAGCCTGGCACTGGGAGGCCCTGAGAGGTTCTCAAAGCTTTGTTTTGTTTTTGACAAGTCTCCTTCTGTAGCCCCATTAGCCTGGAACTCGCTGTGTCCACCAGACTGCCGTCGCCCTGACTTCTGGGTGTCGGTATTAACGTTCTGTGGCGGCCTTTTCCTTAACATTTTCACACGCGTGTGCGTTTGCTCGCTTGCTTCGGTATACGGGCGTGCTGCCTGCAGAGGTCACGGAAGACCTCAGATTCCCGGAGCTGCGGTTACAGGAAGTTTGTGAGCTGTCCGGATGCAGGCGCTAGGAACCCAACCCGGAGCCACCTCTCCAGCCCCTCATTTTTTTAAATTTTATTATTTTTATTTTATGTGTATGTGTGTATTGTCTGCATGTAGGTAAGTGCACCCCTGTCATGCAGTGCCCAAGGAGGAAGAAGAGGCTGTCAGATCCCCCGGGACTGGAGTTATGACAGTTGTTAGCTGCCATGTGGGTGCTGGGATTCGAACCCAGGTCTTCTGCAAGAACAACCAGTCCTCTTAACCGCTGAGCCATCTCTCCAGACCCCAGACCCTCATTTTTGCTTTATATTGTGTGTGTGGGTGGGGGTTGAGACAAGGTCTCCCTATACCCCCGCTGACCCGGAACTCACTATGTAGACCAGGTTAGCAACGATCTCACAGAGATCTGCCTGCCTCTGCCTCCTGAGTGCTGGGACTAAAGGTGTAGCAACCATGCCCCACCCGCCCCTCACTTTTTTGAACTGTATGTTTATGTATAAAGTATACATTGTCCATATTGTACATTTTTAGGCTTACTTTTGTGTGAACATATGTGTGGCATGCAGCATATGCCACACCCTGCTGGAACTGGTAATCTCCTTCTACCATGTGTTTGCAGCTATCTACTTGATGGCAGACACCTTTACTAACTGAACCATTTCACCCACCCCATTATTCGCTTTTTTGAGACAGAGTCAAATTATGTAACCCTCAAACTCATTCTCTTCCTTCAATTTCATGTGTGTGTGTACATGTACATATGTATATATTTGTGTTAGGTAGTTAAGATGGTCATTCCATGTGTCAATTTGAGAAGGTCACAGTATTCAGATATTTAGCAAACATTGTGGATATTTTTGTGAGGCTGTTTTGGAGGAGATTTACATTTAAATTATTTTTTTTATTTTTTTCATTCAATTTTTTAAAGTTATTTATTTAATAACCACATACTTAGAAGAAGCATTTCATTACAACAGCATTGACATATTCAATAACAATTTCCAAATCTAAGA